TGTCCTGGCTAGGGGAGCCTCAGCCGGTTAAGCATCTGTCTTCGGCTCAGGTCATGATCCCGGGGTCCTGGGATCAAGCCCCGCATCAGGCTCCCTGCTCAGCCGGAAGCCTGCTTCTTCCTCTCCCACTCCCCCTGCTTGTGTTCCCTCTCTCACTGTCTCTCTCTGTCAAATAAATAAATAAAATCTTTAAAAAAAACTGTCCTGGCTATTTTAATTGCCTTAATTTTCCATGTAAATTTTAGAGTTAGCCTGTCAGTTTCTACAAATAAGAATTGTAGGATTTTGACTGGGATTGCTTTGAATCTATAGATAATTTGAGAAGCATTGACAACCTAACAACTTTGAGCCTCTGACCCACGAACATGGCATACCAAGAGAAAAATAAAATTCTATCTCATTTAAGACCCTGTTGCTCACAGTTTGTTTTTACATTCAGCCAAGCCTAATGCTAATCAACACAGAGGCATTCACAACCTGTTATGAATGCATCAGACCTCAGTTAAAAGAAAGAGAGGTACTAAAAAAGAAAAAAGGATGGCAAAAGGACACTGGAGTCAACCTGAAAGAACTTCAAATAGCCAAAAATGAAACAATTTGAACCAAATAAATACTGATGGTACTGGATTGTAACCCAAAGAAGAAAACAAATATCCATGAATGCATACTGATATAAATACATCATTGAATACATGGGGAAGAAGAAACAAATATTCCTTACATTAGAATTTCAACTAACATATATAGAAAGAAGGAGAAAAACAGAAAATCACCCTTAGAACACCACAGCAATAACTGCTGCAGGCAAGAGTCATTGATGTGTGCGCATATGTCAAATTCTTTAAACTTTACACTTTATGTATGTGCAGTTTGTTGTGTGTCAATTTCACTTTAGTAACACTGGAAAATTAATCTCGCTGTCTTTTATTCTCCAATGAAAAGTTAACAATGTGGTACTTCATTCAAGTACAGGAGGTGAACTTTCTGTGGGCAGCAGAACTGTTCTAATACCTACAGTTCAGGTATCAGAGTATATCCACGGAAATAAGGGCAGGTTCTGTGGGTAATCTGCCCTTACGCCCTCACCCTTACCACATCAGGTGCTGGCCCAACTTCCAAAAGCCAGCACCTGCATTTGCCTGCTGGACTGCTCTGGCTGCTAAAACCGACTTGGCCTGCCCATCTTTCAGGCCAGAAGTGCCAGGGAATTAATGTCCTCAGAGGAACAGCCCTCAACCTGTGACTTCTGGGAATTGACTGGTGTATAAACATCCCAGCTTTCTCACCTCTTGGGGGTAGTAACTCTAAAACACATGTTCTACAGTGTTCCCCAGAGGTCCAGAACAAGACTATGCTCTCCTATTGCCTACAGAGCTAACTGGTTTGATAATGTACCCTGTCTTCCCATGCTTCTCTCACTCCCCCCACTTCTCTACTGGCATTTCCTTTACTTCCAAATAAACTACTTGCTCTTGAATCCTTGTCTCAGGGCTGGCTTCTGGGGGAACCCAAACTAAGACAAAGATGTAGTGGGCACCTTTAGTGAATACATGAGCATTCTTAAGAAATATGGCTAAGAAACATACTCCCCTTGAATAGAAAAACTACCAAGAGTTTCAGGAACCTAAAACTTTATGTTTCAGCCTATGAATACTTTAGAATTACTGTCTATAAAACCAGTGCGATTAAAAATAAGCAATACTCTCTCCCTCTGCCCCTCCTTCCTCTCTAAAGCATTAATTAATTAATTAATTAAAAAGTAGGGTCGCCTGGGTGGCTTAGTCAGCTAAGCAGGACTCTTGATTTCAGCTCAGGTCATGATCTCAGGGTTGTGAGATTGAGCCCCGTGTCAGGCTCTGGCCTGGGCATGGAGCCTGCTTAAGATTCTCTCTCTCCGGGGCGCCTGGGTGGCTCAGTTGGTTAAGTGACTGCCTTCGGCTCAGGTCGTGATCCTGGAGTCCCGGGATCGAGTCCCGCATCGGGCTCCCTGCTCAGCTGGGGGTCTGCTTCTCCCTCTGACCCTCTTCCCTCTCGTGCTCTCTGTCTCTCATTCTCTCTCTCTCAAATAAATAAATAAAATCTTTAAAAAAAAAATAAAAAGATTCTCTCTCTCCCTCTGCCTCTGCCCCTCCCCCCATCTCTTCCTCAAAAGAAAGAAAGAAAAGAGAAAAGAAAGAAAGAAAGAAAGAAAGAAAAGCAATAATATATGCAACTAGCTTAGAGGTGATCTGCTTCTCACCATTTCTGATGGATAACTCAGGCAATCTTGACCATCATCCAGTTTATTGTCAGTCTAACAGTATATATTTGTCTATTTGTCAAATGTTCAGCAACTCTTCACCACTGGGGTTTTTGTTTTTGCTATCCCTTAGTTGTTTGTTTTCCTAAGATATCTGAGAAGAAAAGAGGAGGGCAAGCTCATTACACAAAGCTTCAGCTTTATAAAGCAATTACTTATCCTAATGAGAGGGGGTGCTGAGCTCAAGGCTTGAATACAATGGGTTGACAATGCACAATTTGCATCATGTATTAACAGGGCAATTAAAACCCATGCAAAATCTAGATATTGGAAATGAAATGGTTCTGGAAATAGCAGCAGCTGACATAGTTACTTATCACCTCTGAGGAGTGTTGGTAATTGTGATAGATTGCAAAAATTGTCCCAATTCTTTGCTTTTGCATGTACCTACACCCCCTTTGCCATGTAACTTTGCAGTGTTCTTCTGCTGTGTGTGGAGGTTCAGCTATATGGCTTCCTTTTGGACAAATATAGGAGACTATGACACAAGCAGAGGTTTGCAAAGAGCCTCCATGATTGGACTGGCTCGCTCTTGCCTTCTGTCATCACCATAAGAACATACTCGGGATGGTCTGATGGTGGATAAGAGACATGTGGAGCACAGCCAAGTCGCCTCACTCATTTTAGCCAAGGCCATCTTGGACCAGCTGACAGTCAGCTAATTGCCAGAAATGCAAGTAAACCTGGGCAAGACCAGATATACTGCTCAGTTGAGCCATCACCAACCCAGAGACACATTAAACTTATACATAATATTTTGAGCCACTGAGTTTTGCAGTGGCTTGTTACATAGCATTCTGATGGAGATAACTAATACAATAAGGCTGGGGATTGAGGAGTATAACCTTTCTTGGGGCAATGGGCCCAAAACTCACATAAAAATGGGTACATTTAGCAAGTCATCTGAATACTCATAAATATCTAGGTATGTGATGGATTCTAAAACACCCATAGCAGAGATTGCAAACTGGTGGCCCACCATCCATATCTGGAGATGTGTTCCTATGGAATGGTGAAAGCATTATTTCCTGTCTTCTTTTCAGTCAGAAATAAGTGAATCCTATATATTAGAGAGCTCACCTCTATTGGCTTAAACTTCTTTCTCTACTACCAATTGGATGTAGAATCTAAAGGTAGACCTTGGAGGGTCAATAGAACTTGACTCTGTATCAGATAGGGTTCAGTCAGAGAAAAAGAACCACGAGGAATGATGTAGAATAAGAATTGGTCATAGGGATCTGACCTTCAGCAATTATGGAAACTGGTAAAATGGTCTCAGTTTGGTTGTTTCTTCTGCACCTGGTGCAGAGCCTGTAGT